GCGCTTAGTCTACCTACCTGGGCGTTCATATCACCAGCAACCACAACGATATCAGAGCTTTTGGCCTGCTGTAGAAGGGCACTTAGAGCGTCATAGAAATTGTCCTTGGCAGATTCAGAGCTACAGTCAGTTGGGGCGTATACAGACACAATAAACAGGGTGCGATGAACCTCACTTTCTCTAGATTCTCTCACAGATGTCGCCAAACGAATCGCACGGAGGCGACTGTCAACGGGTATCCAATCAAGCAGAGACGCTTCCGCTTGTTCGTTCAATACAATACCCACCCCAGCATATCCAGCTGCAGCGGTCTCTGCATCACCAGAGGTACGCAGCCGGAAAATCATGGTCCTCAACGAAAACCTTGGGCCCGAAAGCCTAACCTCAAGGTCGCGATGGTTGTTTTGTAACAGCAGCTTACAATCTTGAACAGCAGGTCGCCAAACCTGTCCTTCAGCCTGGAGAACCCGGCGACTTTGTTACACTAACGCCTCCCTTCTTACACTTTCACGTTTCTCTTCTTTCACCCTCCCCCACCCAAGTTCGAATACTTTCTCCACAGGTCCCAGCTCTAGGACTGACCGTGTTGCTCGCCCTGCATCACACTCAGCTGCAGCTTCTGCACGTCCGAATTCAGCTACAACCCTAAACACTTCGAAGTCTGTTTTCAAACCCCGAAAGCCTGTCTACTTAGCCACCTTCAATGTTCGCACAAAGCAAGCAGATCAACTGGTGGCTCTTGCGCGTACGCTGGATGCCCTCTGTATTGAGGTATGTTGTCTGTCAGAAACAAGGACGCAGGACGCAATTACTGTAATCGAACTGACTACCCCCTCACTCTCCTCCAGGTTCCGGCTGCGCACCTCTGGTGATGCACAGGCCGCTGCAGCTGGATATGCTGGGGTGGGTATTGTATTGAACGAACAAGCGGAAGCGTCTCTGCTTGATTGGATACCCGTTGACAGTCGCCTCCGTGCGATTCGTTTGGCGACATCTGTGAGAGAATCTAAAGTGAGTGAGGTTCATCGCACCCTGTTTATTGTGTCTGTATCTGGCAGTGTTTAAAGTTCGCGCTCTTAAAAAACCTGGAAAACAGACTGGTCTTATGTGTACGCTGAACTCACTTTTCATTTATGTCTGCCGTCCCTCTGAAACAATTACTCAAGACTTCAGCATAGTTATTCAACAGACAATTCCATCGGCATCCGCTCGTTTCCGGTTGCGCCCCTGTGGGGAAACGGATACCGTCCCAACTCACTGGGTTGGGCCTATAGTGATGCCCGTTTTCAAAAAGGGTCATCGTAATAGGTGTGGCAATCACATAGGAATTAGCTTTCTCCCCTTGTAACCAAACTTCTTGCGTCACTCGTTTTACGTCGTTTTACGAAGGCGCATGAAGAGGGGACCCTAGGACGGCAAGCAGGACGCCGGTTTGGAATGGAGAGTTCTCCAAAAGCTTTCCAGCATGCAGTGTCCTCCTACATGGATACCCACTCTCTCCGTTCTTGTCTCATTTCGTTATTGATCAGATAATAAGGCGAGAACCTTATCAACCTGAAGTGTGCAGAATGTATTATCCTCATTTTTCGAAAGGAGAAGGAAGCGCAACCGTTGCTTGAAAAGCTGACCAAGGTCATCAAAGTCCTCAACATGCGCTTCGCACCCACACGCAACAGGACGTACACACTTCGAATATGCCTCTGAGAATTCAAGCAGTAACAGAGGTAATGGAACGCTATGCGCTCCTCCAACGTGGTATTAGGTCGGACGGTAATGTGATAGACAAAGTAAATGCACGGATCTCATGGGTCAGAAAGCGGTGTTTTCTAAGCTTAGGTCTCGGTGTGAAGCTTCCATGTTAGCGTTCCTGTCGAATCAAACACCAGAGGTGCGCAGCCTGTATTAACGTTTAAAAACAGGTCGAAAACACTTGTAACACGTGTCATATATAAAGTTTACGTGGTACAACACCATGAAAATTCCAACGCCTCCCGGACGCGGCGCTGGTAGCCGACATTTGATGGGTGTTAGGTGCAGACCTTCGGCCAATCAGAGCTCGCCTTAACGGTGGACCTGCAAGCGGCTCAATGTTCTGACCATTAACGTGAGGGATAGGCTTTATGGCCGTGGCATCGTCTAACTGCGAGTGGCAGTGCGTGTAATATGCACGCTATGGAAGCACCAGGGGACAGTGATTCTCCGAAGGCAGGTGTTCGCGACAATTTCTATAGATGGAAAACAGAAACAAAGCTCATGAGCCAAAGCCCAGTAAGCAAGTTTGTACATCACCAATACTTACAGATGAATCAATCAAAATGACAGACACCGTATACTACAATGAGGTATGCGTGCGGAATTCCGCAGAACTCTTTGCCCGTTTGAGCCACTTGTTAGGGATGTGTGTATCAGGCTACACTGCAGGTGTAATGCTGTTTGGTTGCGTGACTTGACTACTTCGGGTGGGGTATCTGAGACATCTACATGTTTTTGGACACATGTCTCAGAACTATAGATGGAATCAAACATTTTGGAATGGGGTGATCCGGGGGTGAGTTCATAGTAAAATACATTGCGCTTCTCTCAAAGAATGCATACTGCCCTTCAAGTTGACGCCGCTGCACCAAGTTGTACGCTTGTAGGAGTGGCCCGCCAGGATAAAACCTAGCTTGCCTCCCATGGGTCTGGCCCTCTCGACGACATTTCCAACTGTATAGAATGATAAAGGCGAGCATCATCGAGGCCATATCCTGGTTGTTCCCAGGCCATGTTCTTGTGTTCTTTTAGAATACGAGCATCGTCTTCAAGGCACTACATTCGTTCGCCACTGTCTTGATTCCAGATATGGAGTAGAGGCTAAGTTAGACACATGGAGCCCGCCACCAACTGTAGTGGGGGTTTCACATTATTTCTTGTTAGTATCGTCAATGTAGAGAAGTCTAAAACACGATCTCCTGGCACTCTAAGTTGGCCACCAAAACTGCTTGACAAAATTTGAGTTACTGAAGTAGTCTCACGCGAATACCGCTGCAATGTGACCAGTCTTTTGAGTCAAAAACTGCATAAGTTTGGGCACCTTGGCAACACCTGAGTCCACATACAGCCACGAACTTCATGGAACAAAGTGCGTTCGTGCCACATTGAATACAGCGTGATGTCAGCAGAGTCAACTTACGCTATGCATGAATGAGTGCTGAAGCCCGTAAAGAAAGCACCGGAAGCTGTCGCGAGGAGACGCTATATGATGGCCTATACGTGTCCGTTTCCCCCCTGAGCTGCACTGGGGGTGCACGAGCGAAACTCCCAACCTCTCATTAATTTAATTATTGGTTAGACGTCTGGCCAACATAGTCTGCTGGTCTCACAGCTTCGGAGCCGGAAAGTGGAACTCGTTCTACAAAAAATGTCACGTACTGGAATTTCCCACCGGACACCACTTCTTTTCAGCTAGACTTTTGCGCCGAAGGCTTCGGACGCTGACTCTAATTGTCCTCAAGTTTAAGTCTAGGCACCCTGACAGTATCACATCCCACGCAAAAGAGCGGCCCCCACGGCTGAACACACCGCCACGCCACATGGGCAGCCGCATGGTGTCATTAGCCGGGCCACCCTAACTGCTATACGCAGCAGGGCGCGTAAACTAAGACATACTACCGCAGACACCTCTCTGCTTTCCAGTCCAAGAGCTTTCCCCTCTCCCTCATTCGCTTCACCAATGGTACCCCAGTTGTAGACTCATCCGTTTGGACCGATTACCTTATTCACTTTGCACCTGTCTTGTCAGAAACATCTGTGTAAGTCAGCCGGCGTTTACGGGCTCGGATAGCTTAGAATCCATCTTCAAGCCTGAATGCATGCTCTATTTTGTTGCTCTCAATGTCCGCGCACTGAAACCAGCAGAACGACAAATTGGACCCACTTGGAAGAGGCGTGTGCACTTGAATTCATGAATTGGGTGCAACCGTAAGGTCTATTTACCCCATCGCACTCCACCCGCCTACGGCTCTGGGATTCTGGTATTCCATGGACCGTTTTCGTAGGCTGCGCATGAATCCGTATCGTTCTAAGGCACCTGGTTTAAGGATCACTGCTTGAAAGGGCACTTGCTTATATTCGTCTCTGTGTGGTTCATCTGGCAACGTCCATGAAGGACTCATACGAGGACAGGGCTGATCATTGTCTGCCCGTCGTGTTTGCTTACGTTCCAACCGACTGTAATCCGGACAACATCAAATACAACTACCATAACACAATGAGTGGCCAGTCACGGAGAGCTAAAAGCTCAGATAACACTGTGTTTCCGGGGCATTCGGATAAAAGGTGAACAGACGTAGCCCATCGTAGACTCATTCCGGTGATCGGTTGGGCTGGATTGTGTACGCATGGACAAGGGCGAACAAGTGACAGCTGTGCTGAGCATAGACTGTCTTTATGCAGCCCCAAGCTACAAGGTACCCATCAACAGCATGCCAGCTGTTGGCAGATTGGCAAACTTAACACAGCGTGCCGATTACCTGGGTCAGCAACCAAATGTTGCTTCTTTTGGGCCACTTGTGGTTTCCAAGGACACACTCGTTCCGAATCAATCTTCTTGCTTTTTGGACCCGTCTGTTGGGAGAATAAGTGACTCTCAGATCCCGAAATTAAACGAATGTGTCAGGATCTTCCTTCGGACTCTCAGTGCCAATCTGCACCGGAACACGATCGCCACATCTTTGTGCGGAGCCGCTAGTCCTGCCAGTGCACCATACCTCCAGCTCCTCACAGGTATTGGGGTTGTTTGAATCTTTTAGACATATTCAAGCCAGTTCCAAAATTAATCCACTCCGGTGCATTGTCACTCGCGGTTACTCTGGGTGGCATGGCAGCATGGGATAGAAAGGATGTCAAGTTGAACAAATGGATTGCCACACACACACATCAAGTGGAATTTAGTGTGCGCGTCGGCCATGAAGCCCTACGCACATGCATGGCTATATAAATGTATTAGACTAAGAATGCTGGCAATGACGAGCAGTAACGAATGCTATCTGACATGCCCATCATCATCGTCGGCAGCAGCGCCGGATGAAAACGCGGACAATATACTTCCATTGGCCAGCCTACCACAGAAGCCCGAGGTGTCCATGCTTCCAGCAAACAATCAGACAATCTAGACAGAAGCTTACAACATGAACCTCACCGACGCCGGTTGGCCACCTATTCGTGCAGTGTCTTCGGCCAAATACGGAGGGTCACGTATACCCCATCTTGGAAAGTGAGCAAAACCAACAGCGCCCAAATCTGTCTTAATAGCCTTCATTCTATTCTGCCTTGTTGAGTGACACGAAAAACAGTGCTCACCTCGGCA